TATATATGTATATATATGTATATATATATGTATATGTATATATATGTATATATGTATGTATATGCAATTATATCAGGATATATTATATGGCAATATATTTGCACATTTGTGCGGAACTGCTTCAGGTTGACCGTAAAGCCGTAAGTTCGGAAAAAGAAGCTTCAGGCGGAGAAAAAGCTAGAGAATGGGGAAAGTCATGGGTACTTGTTGATGGCATTAAGATTATTTCTAAGAACATTAAAAGAGCATTAAATGAGAGTTACTCATTCCTGTATAAACCCTGATATAATATATGTTGTATTTCTTCACATTAAAGGGACAAACTACAACAATGCCACAGCGCTTGTGATCACCTTCCCCCTCAACAACTACCTGAACGACTCGGTGAAGATGGGTCAGGCTCTTGCATGGGAACTGGAGTAAGATTGCAATCAATCGGACAAACCCGACTTAGCTTTTCCTTTTTTTTATGTGTATAAACTGTTTAATCTATACGTGTGTGCAGGTTCATCAGGTTTATGAAGAGCTATAACAACCCCAACCTCACCGTAGCCTTCAGTGCTGAGAGGAGCATTGAAGACGAGATCGACAGGGAGAGCAACAGCGACATCAGCACTATCGTGATCAGCTACGCCATCATGTTCATCTACATCTCCCTCGCCTTGGGCCACATTCACAGTTTCAGAAGGCTGCTGGTAATAGACAAAAGCTTGATCTGTTGTCAGTGTTTTTTTTATCTAGAGACAGGACCTTTTAGTGCTGTTTCTTGCTTCCACACATGGCTAGAATAGTTTCAGGTATTACACATCTAAACTCATCCATCCTGTTCTACGCTGGAGCTACATGGGTCATAGCTCTTGTTACTCATGCGTGAAGCGCATGTGGTTAAGCATCTGAGATGATTCACCTTTTTTTTTTCTTTATCTTTACAGGTGGACTCAAAGATTTCTCTGGGTATAGCTGGCATCCTGATAGTGCTCAGCTCCGTGTCCTCATCTTTGGGGATCTTCAGCTATGCGGGTATCCCACTCACACTCATCGTGATCGAAGTCATCCCCTTCCTCGTGCTGGCTGTTGGGGTCGACAACATCTTCATCATTGTGCAGACATACCAGGTTAGCTCTCAATGTTGCTTTTATGCATTTTGTAAGAACTAACCCTTAGTGGCTGCCACATAAAGAAGAGATGTAAAATGGCAATATGTGTGCGTTTGTGAACAGAGGGATGAGCGGTTGCCACAGGAGGAGCTTCACCAGCAGATCAGCCGTATTCTTGGAGACATAGCGCCCAGCATGTTTCTCTCTTCCTTCTCCGAGACTGTGGCCTTCTTCCTTGGTAAGATAAGTTTTTTTTTTTAATGAGAAGAGTTTCCACCCAGAGGAGGCAGATTGGAAGTCTATCTCCAAATGAGCAAAGTGCTACAAACCAGAAACCATTCAGATGGGATCACCTAGTTATTCTAGAGAGATTCTCAAACTCTACTTCTCAATAAGAAGCTTAGTTAAGCTAAACAAAGGCCAAAGTAGTCTGTCAAAAGCAGATCAAATTGACAAGAAGACACCAACAAGTAGACCTTTTACTGAGACCTGTGAAACTCCCAAGAGTGAGGAGCATGCAGTTTATTTATGTTGTTATAACATGCAGGAAACCTAAAAATTAGCATGCATAACGTTTAATGTGTTGCAGCTTAATCCTTCAGGTTTAATCTGGATTGTCACACCTTGGACTGAGTTATCCATGGAAAGAGAGTAACTTAGTTTTTTTTCTGTAATTAAGATTACTAGTTTGGATTTAGCCATTTGTTTTGGATAGAATGTTATGGTTCTTATGGAGACCTTTACACACTAATCTTCTCTTTTTTTCCAGTTCTCTAAAGCATGTATTGTTTTACTCCCTTTACCATCTTGGTCTCTGTGTGGTTAAAAAGAAATCAGCATATGTTCCTGTCTAGCTTAAGCTAGGGGTGTGGGAAAATATCGATTTGGCAGTATATTGGGATTTTCAGCTTCCTAATATAATTTTGATCTTTCAGTTCCTAATATTGATTTTAAAAAAGAAAAAACATATCTGAAAAAATGAGGGACAATGGGCTACCTCTGCAATGCCACTCTGGTAAATAGCACCTTGGTGCCCTTTTCCTGTGCGCCGCAGCACCTTTTTTTAAGAGGCAGTCCCAGTAGAAGTCATGGACTGACTCAAACTCCAAACACATGGATTCTGATGAAAATATACAACACTTGTTTTTTATCTATACATTTCATTCTAATAGCTAGGTAATATATGGCATTATATATTTATATTGCAATATCATGATAGTATTGTATCACAACATACATGCCAATACTCACCCCTAACTTAAGACTGGGGGCTAAAAAAACAGGGCATTCCACTTTGTCTTATTGACTCAGTTGTGAGTTACTGATTGAAAGTTTCTAAAAATGCTTACCAACTTAAAAAAAGAATGCATAAGATCTTCACTTACACTGCCTTAAAAGCAGCTGTTTGGGATCTCAAAGATCTGCAGGTGATGTGATTTCATATTGGAAGATCATTTCTATATTCTCTATTGTAAACTTTGGATTCTGCAAAACAAGATAACTTAAGAGACATTTTACACATATTAACCAGAGGTACCAATGCTCATGGCCCCCACTGTATGATCTTAGTAGGTGTGTTTCCATTAACAATGAAATTGCATAAATTATAATAAAAAAAAATACATTTACTAAATGGAGACACATTTTAAAAAAGCTCTCGTTTTTTTAAAAGTTCTTACACTTTGATGTGGTGGCTTTTCGGGCGTATTGAAATTCTCATTCACAAAATTCACGAAACTGCAATGGAAACACTTTTCTTTTTTGCATCACACCAGTCCCATGATCCGCAGCTGGACCTTACTGCCTTGCAAAAAGATAAAGAAGATGACTGTATGTAGTTGGAGGAGGATGGCGCCCACTAGAGCCGTGGCTCAAATATGGATAGATTTTATTTGTTTCCATTCACCGCTGCATTCTTGTTTTTAGAGCAATCATGTTGTAAAAATGTATTCATGTGCAATTCCAACTGTAATTGCTATTTGATTGAAATGCCACAACAACAGAACTTTGGATTTTTGAATTTAGCTGAATATTGACATAGTTTTGCACACATTTGTAATGGAAACGCAGCTAATGTGTCATTATTATATATGATGCTGCTATATCATCCTGCTATTGGTGATACTGCAGTGGTAAACATGGACTGTTTGATTGAACCATTGGATTAGAAACAAGAACATGAAAGGTTTTCCATGGGGAAGAACCTTGAGCTTTGAAAAACATTTTCTATGCAAAATCAGTGAAAATCTGCCCTATATTCATGGGTAAACTATTTGAAGTTTAAACTTAAGTTTGATTTTCAGAATCAAAATAAAAGCGTTGACATTGCTTCAGGAAGCTGACTTTTTTCTTGGTGAACTTCCAGGTGCCCTGTCAAACATGCCTGCTGTGAGGACTTTCTCTCTGTTTGCTGGCTTGGCTGTTTTCATCGATTTCCTGTTGCAGATCAGTTGCTTTGTCAGCTTGCTGGGCCTGGATGCCAAAAGACAGGAGGTAAGAAAAAACAGGAAACTGGAATTTGCACCAATTCTGGCTTTACTAATAAAAAACAGCTAAAACTGATGTCAGCTCTTGATCTTGTCGTGCCCTGAATTATGTCACATCTTAAAACAGATTTTTATTTAAGTCAAAGGTGAGCTGACTAACCATGTTACATCAGAGCTGCATTTCAGTTTCATGTGACCGTTGGTTATTTAAATGTTCCTTAGAGTTTTAGTGCTGCTCTGTTTTTACTTCCTGATTTTCCTATCAGTTGTGTTTCATTTGATTTCTTTTGCCAACAACTGTAAGGAATCATTTTTTTCATATCCAAACTAGGGCTGGTGTCCATTCAAATTTCAAAAACTCATTTAATTCTGTATCTATAGACCTAGAACAGATTATTTTCCCATGTGGTCTGATCTTAAATTGAATTAAAAGCATTTTTTAAATGTAATTCTTTAGATGAGTTAATGACTGTAGTTGCGCAACTCATAGGTGTTGACTAGTAAAACCACAGTAGCACAGGTCTTAAACTGTGCTTTACAGAGGTTTTCTTTATGGTAGCAGTATCCAGGCCATATAAAAAGAAAATAAACAGCTTTAGACTTCAAACAAAGCTGATTGAAGCTTGTCCATTTAAAAAACCTCAAATAAATAACAAACCACGCATTTGCTTATAAACTGTATTTTTTGATCAGATGTCTAAGATGTTAAATGAGTTTAGAACATGTTACAAATTTGATTCAGATACTGTATTGAATTTTGAAATGTAATTTTTTTTTATGAATCAGTAGATTCTAGATTTGGGAAGTTTCAGCTTTAAATAAGTTAGATTTTAAATAATCAAAGATTCAACTCTGTCTGAAGTGAGTTATGAGTTAACAATATTTGACTACAAAAGTGACAACGTTTGTGGAATTTGTGAGAGTTACAAATAAAAATCAGGGCAGTTGTTGGGTTTTTCTATTTACCATATGGATTATTGTAATTAACTTTCATCTGGCAATTATTAAATATTTTGTTTTCTTGCTCTGCTGCACCCATACCTTCTTCCTGTTTTGCCCCCTTGCTACTTAAACCCGCTCCTATTTCTATTGATCTTTTTTCAAGTGGGGCTGTATGTATATATTTCTAGGGCTTCAATTAACCAACAATTTTGCTAATCGGTTATTCTGTTGATTATTATTCTGATTAATTGAAATTGAAAATGGGTTTAAAAACACTAATAAAGTTAGCTTACCTCTGAAACACTTTGGCGAGAACCCTCAATTTTGGTTATATGAATAGATGTGAACAAATAAATATGGAAATCGTTTCAGAATCAGAAAACTTTTTTTTTTTTTGCAATGATTCAGGAATGTAAGTTATTGTTTAAAGAGTTTATCTAAAGTTGATTGAACTTATTGATCAACTAACGATGAATTAATTAGCGACCATTTTCTCAAACACTTGAAATTGTTCTTGTATCAAGAGTGCATTTTGAAAAATCAGGGTTCATTTTTTGGTAATATGTTGTCCTGCTGTATTAAATGCTGACTGAATAAACAAGAATTGACTTTCTGACATATTACTAAACATGGACGTATTTCTAAAAAAAACAAGATGACTATAATAAAAAGTGTGAAGTTTTTATAATCCCCCCACGAACATGGAAGTAAAACGCTCAACTAAAAGCATGCCGTGCCTTAATTGCTCTCAGAGGATTGTTAAAGCCTCACAATGTCACAGTTAACTGAAGCAGGGAAGCATTGTCAGCACTGCGGTTCAAAGAGTCCATAGCATGGGAAAATATTTCATGTCAGTGAATGTTGTTTGTCAGCCATTATGGCTGTATTAGTTTTTAATATCACCCCCAATTCCCTGTTCTATGAAACTCAACATCTACAATATAGAAACAGATTTATTATAAACTTTGTTTAAAACTATCACATGCCAGCATTTTGCTGGTTGTTCTGGAAACTGTTCAACTGCTTATGTTTTCCGGCCTGTTAAGTGTTTGAATGATTCGACTGTAGGAACAGATTCTTGATGGCACTCTTTAAACGCTGTGGTCTGCCTTTTGTGTTTAAAAGGGGAACCGGCTTGACATCTGCTGCTGCGTAAAACTGCCTGAACGTCAGGAAGTAAAGACGGAAGGCTTCCTCTTTCGCTTTTTCAAAAAAGTCTATGCTCCATTCATCCTCAAGGAGTGGGTTCGGCCGATCGTTGTGAGTCTTACTGAGCAGCGATGCTTATCCCTATTTTAATCCCACGATGAATTCAAGAAGTAGATGTGACTCTCATGTTCTTGTCAACAGGTGGCGGTGTTTGTTGGTGTACTGTCCTTCAGTATCGCCGTTGTCAATAAAGTGGAAATTGGACTGGACCAGAAGTTATCTATGCCTGATGTAAGTTTTTACATTTTCTTTTATTTGTTTTTCATTGTCTACAGTTTGTTCTGACAGCTCGTCTCATCCTTTAGGACTCCTATGTTCTGGACTACTTCAAGAATTTAACCGAGTACCTCCACACCGGAGCTCCTGTTTACTTTGTAGTGGAGGAAGGGCACAACTACAGTAGCCCAGAGGGCCAAAATTCTGTGTGTGGAGGAGTAGGATGTAACAACGACTCTTTGGTGCAACAGATTTATGCTGCCTCACTTATCAGTAACTAGTAAGAAACACTTAAAATACTGATTGGAACATTATCTTCGTCACTGAACTCATTCCAGTCCCTTCACAAAATCCTTACCTAATTTACCAGTTTTTCTTTTTTTTGCTCCTAGCACAACTATTGCCTACACCCCATCATCGTGGCTGGATGACTACTTTGATTGGGTGAAGCCTCAGTCCACCTGCTGCCGCTACTACAACAACTCAGGAGCTTTCTGCAATGCCTCAGGTAGCTTCAGCGCTGGGAACTAGTGTCCAGTGAACTCTTTAGATCTAAAGCTGAAAACCATGCTGCACTTTAATCAGCTCTTTCGTAATAACATTGCTTTTTCTTAACAGAAAACATAAAGAATATATGGCCAATATATAATCATAATTCTGTGCCCTTTCTTTTTTTTATTGAAAAAGCTTCCTGGAAGGAAAGGGAAATGTTTTCAAACTTGGAAACAAAGTCCAGTAGATTGTTTTTTTAACTTTTTTTTTTTTATCTTTGTCCTTTTCCTTTTCTCCTTGTCATCATTTCTTCTCCCCTCATTGTGTTCCTTCCTTCCTTGCTTCCTTTAATCCACACTTAAGTTTCGTGTTTAGGCTAAAATATGAAGTTGTGGTGAATATTTGTATTTTTATTTATTTTTAATTCACATTAATTACTGAAAACTCTGAAACCTGCACTCTGGGGAAGTCTGGAATTTCTACCTGGAATACTGAGGGGCTCAGATCTGAATTTGCTCAGCTGCTTTTTTTTTTTTTTATAAAATCTGTGTGTTCTTCTGCTGCTAATGTGGATTTTTTTTTTTTTGTTGCTTTAATTGCCTTCTCTCAAGACCTGCAAGAAAAAAATAATAAGAAATGGGATCTTTTGAATTTGAATGTATATTTACTTTATCTGGACCTTGATTCATCTCTGGCAGTGACGTATTCTCTTATGTCCTGTAAATAACTAATTAACTAGTTTCTAAATGTGTGTTCTAGTTGTGGACCCGTCCTGTTTATCCTGTCGGCCCATGACTCAGAGCGGAAAGCAGAGGCCTGAAGGAGAAGACTTCATGCGGTTTCTGCCCATGTTCCTGTCAGACAACCCTAATCCCAAGTGTGGAAAAGGGTAATTTATCCCCATATTTTTCATTTTAATAATAAATATTAAACTTATCATTGAATCCTTTTGGTCTAACCTTTTGTTGACCCCTTTCATTCCCCCAGCGGCCATGCAGCTTACGCGACAGCCGTCGAGCTGTATACCAACAACACGGGCGTTGGGGCCACGTACTTCATGACATACCACACCATTCTAAAGGAGTCTCCAGACTACATCGATGCTTTGAAAATGGCTCGAATCGTTGCCAACAACATCAGTCAGTCTTTGGGTCACAAAGTTTTTGCCTACAGGTACGTTCTGATAACAAGCTGCTGAGTTTCCTTCAGAAATTCATGGAAGTCGGCGAGGAACTGTAGGTTAAAAATAGGGATGTCCTGATCCGATTCTAATACTGGAAATCAGTGAATTAGTGTTCAAAGAAAGAAATATTGGATCATTTCAGCCTGCATCTAAAATCTCAGATTTAAACATCCTGATAGAAACACTCTGCTTTAGTTTCACACAATGTTCAATGATAAATGGTTAAGTTATTCTCACACATTTTACTTTAGTTTAACCCTTTTTTTTTTTTTTTTTTTTACATCACCTGATCAAGCCTTTTCTAATGCTACACCCTACAAAATGAGTAATATCAATAAGTATGATTTAGGGCTGAAACAATTAATTGGATTAATAGTGATTAATCACTTATTGAAATAATCCTCAACTCATTTAGTAATCAATTAATTGTTAACTAGAGTATAGAGACTGTAAAACATGCTTTAGCTGACAGAGCAACCCACTTAGAGCAGCGATTATATCAAAATTGTAAAACGAACATTTTTAATTACATAAAAAATCTTCGTAAAATAACTTTTGGCTATCTGGTAATTAATTGATTAATTGAAAAAATAATCGACAGCTAAATCAATTTGCAAATAGATAATTAGTTGCAGCCCTGGTATGATTCATGTTGATCTGGTATCCTGATAATATTGGCATTGGACAATACTCACAGCTGCAATAATGGTATCATATCAGAAATAAAATTTAAAAAAAGTATGAGGACATCCCCAGTTAAAGTTGAGCACAGAGACCAGGACTGCTGATTAGAGTTAATTTAGAGACACATTCCCTTTGCCTGATTCTTCCTGGATTTAAAAAAAATCAAAAGCCTTTTTCTAACATGTATGTAGACTAGTGCAAATGTTTAACAATCACCACACCATGTCCTCTTTCCTTTACGGACTGATTACGTAAAAAATGTTTTGCTTCTTTACAGCATCTTCTACGTGTTTTACGAGCAGTACCTCACCATTGCCTACGACACGGCTCTGAATCTGTGCGTGTCACTGGGAGCCATATTTGTAGTGACGACGGTGCTGCTGGGCTTGGAGCTGTGGTCAGCAGTGATGGTCAGCATTACCATCGCCATGATCCTGGTCAACATGTTCGGCGTCATGTGGCTGTGGAGCATCAGCCTCAATGCTGTTTCTCTTGTCAACCTAGTTATGGTAAGAGTTATTCTTTAATGACTACATCATAAAATGTATAGAAATATTCAGGCCTACCTGTTAACGGCTGCATTCGGTTCTTATCAGTCAGACCCTTTTATTAAATCAAGCTCCTATTTCTGATGATGTTGTTGTAACCAGTTGTTGTAATGAGGATCCCTTTGTGCCATGGTTGAGGGTCATCTTTGTGCTGACTTTTCACCCCTGCTTGATATTCAAAGATCATTTCTGATGCATGCTGTTAAGGCAACAAGAGTTATAGTCATCAGTGCTCTGTTGGTTCCATAGCTCTTACCTTTCACTAGCAATGACTTCTATAAGGACCACAGTAAAACCAGATGCTGGTATTGTAATCGCCTTTGCTTCTTCATGACTTCAAAGACTCGTTCTGGCAGACTTTGGATACGCAGCAGAATAACAATCTAAACACCAGGAGATCCAACTGAGTGACTCTAAAACCACAAAACAAAATGTTTTTGGGGTGACTTAAGGTCTGGACCTAAATTTGATTGGGATGGTTTGTTATTGCTTTAAACAGACTGTTTGTTTATTCTGGGAAACCATCTTATGTATCTGAAATAAAAACAACTTTACAGAGGAGTAGCATCTAACAGGCCTCCCCAATGATTTAAAGCTGCAACCCCAGTTGCCACAAAGTTGTCTTGATGGTGGAGGTTGCTATCAGTGTTGGCCCAAGTAACAGGTTATTAGGTTAAGGGAGAAGCTACTTTTACATCTAAGGCTTGGTCTTTTTCTTAGTTAATAAAATCACAACTTTAACCTGTATCTTGTATTCTCGGTTCATCCTTATCTTAAATTTAGCTTTATTAGACCATAGAAATGTGCATGTAACAAAAAAAGAAATGGAGAAAATATCTCAAAGTGGGAAGTAATTTTTGTTCCAGCTCTGCAAATGTGACACATTCAGAACAAAGTTCGCCAAATGAGGGAGTTTGCCAGTAAACACATGAGCAGTCATGATGCCACATAGTGTCAGATTGACTAAAAGGAAACTTGAGGTCAAACATGACCTAATGTCACCTCTGAAAATCCTTATGAAGAAGAAAAAAATGCAGATGTGTGTGACTTTCTGTCCTAAATGTTCAGCTTCTCTCCTTGGTTTTGCAGAGCTGCGGCATCTCTGTGGAGTTCTGCAGTCACATAGTGCGAGCGTTTTCCATCAGCGTAAAGAAGAGCAGAGTGGAGCGAGCGGAGGAAGCCTTGGCTCACATGGGCAGCTCTGTGAGTCGCAGCTGATGGCTTTTTATTTCATTCATTATAGGAAGTTAATTCTGTCACTTCTTTTTTGTTCTTTTCTGATTTTTTTCCATGAAAGAGCACCACATTCAGATTACAAAACAACAAAAACTAGAGGATATGACCTGAAGATTGTTGAATTGTTTGAAATATCACTAAACACTGTGTTAACTAAGAGATAATTCTTTCACAAGTTGTTTTTTCTTAAAGGGTAAAGCAGTTTTAGTATGAATCATGTTCCTTTTTGTCAAATGTTTATTTTTCATATTAATCCTTGACAGGTGTTCAGTGGGATCACACTGACAAAATTTGGAGGTATTTTAATCCTGGCACTCTCCAAGTCACAGATCTTCCAGGTCTTCTACTTCAGGATGTACTTGGCCATTGTGTTGCTAGGGGCAACTCATGGCCTCATCTTCCTTCCAGTTCTTCTCAGCTATATAGGTGAGTGATCTCATGCAGCAACAGCAAATTAGAAGCTGTGCATATACTTAACAGTTAGATAAATGTCATATTAGGTTATTAGTTTATTTTATTTATTTTTGTTGAACTACTGATCTTTTGCAATATAGTTGACAGGAAAGGATGCAGAGAGAAGGGAAATCATTCAGTTATCAAACCTAGAATATGGGTACCTACTCTGACCAACCCTCTTTTTAAGGCGGAGTAATCATACAGCCTCTAATTCAACAAGGTCCTGATTCTTATCAGAGATGGACAGCAGCTAGTTGGTTTACCTCTGAAAACAATCCTGTTGAAACACAGAATTGTCAATGAATCTCAACCCTTTAGACTGTTTTTTTTTAAAATTTCTGAGATTTTTTTTCTTGTCTTTATTATATTTCCAAGACTTTGTTTCATGCATTAGTGGCTCTGCTAGAGATACAACCCACAGTATCATGTATTCACCCCCTTGTTGTATTGTTAAGGTATTTAGAGGATGTAAACTCTCTTCGTTACTCACCAGTAAAATTTGCTGTGAACCAGCTCACAGTAAAACCCCACCACCACCACTTGTCCTTCCGAGTCTTCCAAACATTCTTAGTCTCGTCATTGCAGCTAAATAGCCAAGAAATGGTGCAGATATCTGCAAACTCCACTCAGTCTCTTGGAGCTTCTTTGTGGCTTGATGCCTTCATCAGTCCACGTTGGTGTCAAACTGGTTTAACTTTGGACATTCCTTCTGGTGTTCCAGCAGTTTCCAGCTCTTGCCAAGCTTAAGCATTGAAGTTAGAAAAAAATCCTGTGTTAAGGATCAAGTCTATTCAGGAATAGAAGTATAGATCCCATGAATTAATTAATTAGTGGCGTTGGATGTAGGAGTTTGCCCTGAAATCGAAGGATTGACGGTTCAAGCCCCGGCTCCGGCTTTCAATGTCGTTGTGTCCTTGGGCAAGACACTTCACCTGCATTGTCTACTGATGGTGGTCAGAGGGCCCGGTGGCGCCAGTGTACGGCAGCCCCGCTTATGTCAGTGAGACCCAGTGCAGCTGTGGCTACAATGTAGCTTGCCACCATCAGTGTGTGAGTGTGTGTGTGTGTGTGAATGGGTGAATGAATGTAGTGTAAAGCGCTTTGGTCAAGTCTCCTGACTTCAAAAAGCGATATATAAATACAGGCCATTTACAATCATAATGGATTTGTATGTTCCTTTTAAAAGAACAGTTTTTTAAAAAAACTTAAAGTTCATAAGGCATTTTCACACCTCATCAGTTTTTGTACTTAACTCCATTTTATGTAATAATTCACTTCTGTTTCACTCCAAAGGTCCGCCGGCGAACAGAGCGAAGGTGCTTGCAGCTAACCAGCGTTTTGCCGGCACAGAAAGGGAGCCCCTCATCAAATACTAGTCAGTGGTTGAGACGGCGTCCAAACAAACTAATGAACTAACTGTTTGTGAGGGACTGTGCGTGGGTGAAAGCAGGAGCTGCTTCTTCAACTACCGACACACTCAACATCTCAGCTACTATGGATCTAACTCAGGAAGGTTCAAGGAAATGAGGAACGCCGAAGGCCATGTCCACAAGCACAAACTGAACTCTCCTCAGAAGACTCCAATCAGAAACAGCTCTCTTCCTCGTCATCATCCTCCTCCTCTTCACACTACAAGACACGCCTTTAGTATCTGAAAAAAGAACACCAAGGAACAGACAGTCTGATGGAGAGGAGCAGGTAGACCCTCCACCTGTCAACACTGGAGGAGCTCTTTGTTTTTGGAAAATTAGAAAAGGGTAAAACTGGTCTATTTTTATATAGACGACCAGCTTAATCCTATTGAAACGGTTTTCTTTTGCTTTGGAAAGAAGATGAATATCTGTAGAACCGTTTGATGCTACAAGTCACCTACTGAATGGATCGAGAAACAACAGTTAACAGCAATAGTTACCAATAGTCCTCAGCAGTTAGGAGCTGCATCAACAAGTTAGACCCATCTGCATCCACGCTGGATTCCTGTTGCATGAAATCCCCAAACTGATGTGGATCTAAACTCTTAGACGCATATTCTCAATATTTTTCTTATTTTTATTCAGAAGTCAGTAAATTGGGACCAGACCTGAAAGAAAAACAAAATTCCAGCGATCCTTCTTCTTGCCTTCTTCCCACATTTTTCCTCGGATTATTTATTTAAAAGCAGGTGAGCTGTTAACATTATCCGACACCAAAATTCATTAAGAGCACACCAACTTGTGTTCTTTTTGAGGACTTTATAGGACGGAGCGCTTTGGATTGACGTGTATCTGATGCGTTTTGTAGTTACTGAACAAACCATTTGTAGCATTGTTAAATTTGACGGATAAAAGAATATAAATGCATAAAATTGCAAAAAGAAAAAGCTAACGGGACTAATTAAATTTTTTCTACTGTCATTGCAGTTTGGATATTTGCTTTTAAATTATTGTTTTAACTTTTGCTAATATTTGCTGCTTTTCTGTATATGTTTAAAGCTCTCATAGGTCCCTTTAAAAAAAAAAAATGTTTTGAGATGATTTAAGCTAAATGTGACCAATCAACGCTTCATGTTGGTCTTTGTTCTCATGCCTTACCTTTACCTCAACATGTCTGACATTTTACCCTGTTATCCTGTGTGTGTATTCCTTAGAAACGGTAAACCATTTCTCGCTTTTATCGACAGTCCCTTCAGGATTGAGTAGTAATTTGTATAATGAGAGATAGAGCTGTATCTAACACCAGCTTAAATCTGGATGTACGGAAAAAGAATGTTACGAGTTTTGTGTCTTGCTCAATCATGTATGAAAGAAAAGGTTTGTGGGGCAAGGGGGGGAAAGACAATGCAAAACAAGGAAAACTTTAGTTTTTAACCATTTTTAACATTAAACCACCTGAAACTAATGCAGAGATTATGTTGTTTCATTCCATCTTTGTTTAAGCTACCTTAAAACACTATTTGTTTTTTGTTTTTTCATTCTTTAAATCTGCTGGTACGCTTAAAACATTCTTAAGATGTCCATAAATGGTGTACATGACAATTTTACCTACCCAGATAATCCAATATTTTGATATTTGGGGTGTTTTGTTTATATATTTCCAACCAGTAAGGATTCCTGCTCTACTTCAGGTTCTTTAGCCAATATAAACTTATCTAGGATGTAGCGTTTATCTCGGAAAAAATAATTCTTAGACGCATAACCTAATTTCAGGACTAATATGTTTTATTTGAGGGGTTTTAAATGCATATGTGAATTTAATATCTGGAGCCCCACTGGAAACATTTTACTAAGAAATATGTTCATCCATTTTCCATCATGCTTTATCCCAGCTGGGGTTGTAGTATCTGAGGGATACTGGTGTCTATCTCCAGCTGTATGGACCGGTCGCCAGTCTATCACAGGGCAACACAGAGACAAGCAACCATTCACACACACACTCACACCTAAGGAGAATTTAGCAAAGCCAATTAACCTAACAGTTGTGTTTTTGGACTGTAGGAGGAAGTCAGAGTACCTGGGGAGAACCCACCCATGCACATGGAGAACATGCAAACTCCATGCAGAAAGATCCCAGGCTGGGAATTGAACCCGCAACCTTCTTGCCTTAAGGCAGCAGTGCTACCCACTGTGTCTCTGAGCAGCCCATATTATGTGCAGTGCTTGTTTATTTTATTCATTTTGCCTCTGTTCAGAACCTTGACTGGATTTGTCTAAGCCTAACCACAGGGTGGCGCCTAAATCCACTGACTGACAAGAGGCTGCATGGGCTCTTGTTAATGTTAGTGGGAGTGACCTCATTTTTCTGACTGGTAGAGAGAATCAGTGCTGTTAAATTTTCTGCAGGGCTGCAAGGGTTTTGGATCCATCAACTGGAAGAAAATATAAGAAGCTTCTACTGCAAGGCTGGTTGTCCTCCCTACATCAGCTGGTCACATACTGATACCCCACACACACACACACACATCCTGAGAGGCCATCAAGTTTCTTAGATCTCATTCGAAAGTCGCTGCCAAGTTGAGAGCTGTCCACTTCCTCTCAGAGTTTGTTGTTGTGGCCGCCTGCTCAGCCCTGTTGTCACACAACCCTGGAAGCTCATGACTTATTTATCCGCCTCCCCCGTGGGAGCGGGGCTGTCCTCTCTGTGTTACAGAGAGATTAAAATATTAATTTCCTCCCCAGGTCTGTGTCACTGTCTACAGGAGAAAATGTGCAGGTTGCCAGAGAACTGTTATGTAAGAAGGGAGAGGCGCCCCACTCTCTTTCTATACTCTGCTCAGTGTGTCTGAGCCTTGATGGAAGACAGGGAACAGGTCAGAGGAGGGGATTCTAGTTCACTGAGGCATGAAACACACAGCATGGGAAGGGCAGTGTTTGCTGACAATAAGTGAAAGTATAAGACGCTGTTTCCTTGTGGGAGGATGAACCTTAAACTGATATTTGAACGAAAACAGAAAGTACTTTAGTAACATGTCCAAGCAAAAAGAAAGGTAAGGAATCAAAAGCACTAAAACAGAAACGACTATAAATCCTGAAACAGCCCAGTGGAATAAAAGTCATCAAGTTATTGTTCTTCAAGAAAAAATACAAATTCCTCTTATCTGTCGGAGCAGCCAACTGCCTCCATTCTAATCATAACTGATAAAACCCTCATTAACTGGTAGAAACAGAGGGATTTTCTTTGTTTTTTAAATCTTTACCTTTATTAGACTTTTGCCAGTGATACAAACCTTCGGCACAGAATAACTTTTTTTTCTGTCAGACAGTTGTAAAATTAACTAGACAGTGTTAATATAAACATCACCTTAAAAATAAAAACAAATATTTTTAAGGTATTTAGCAGCGAAAAGCATATTTGAGAAGAGCAGCCATGTACAGAAGACTTTTATATTTGATAAGGTAGAATAAAAGTTTTGAATTAAGCTTGTTTATCAATCTAAAACTATTATTACCTTCAAGCAGCTAATACATTTAATTTAATAAAAATGTTTTTGATTAGCTGTAAGTGTTAAGAGTGTAAATGAGTTTAAAAATGTCAGTCTGTTTTAGTCAATCAGTTTTATTTCACAAGCTGAGTTACTGGAACCAAGGAATCTTAATAATACTGTAATTAATTATGACAACTATAAATGAATCAAACAAATATATACAAAAAGAGAATAGTTAACACTGAAGCAAACAAATCACCAATTTCCAACTAAATTCACTTGAAAAATAGAAAGAAAACACTTCACCAAATAAACTGCATATGCCATCTTTGCAGCATTAAGCTACAGAGGCTTGTAAAATATTCTGCAAGGGAGTTAATCTGAACCAATAAAACAACTTTAAATGACTTCTTTTAAACGTAATGACAAGAACAGTAAAACAACCAGCAAGGACTAGGCTTGAGGATTCCTGGTTAACGTGTGGTTGAGGTAAAATATTAAACAAGCTGGAGGTTTTATCGTTTTGACCTTCTGTTTCATTATGGATACAAAGATCCCATTCATCTCTGCTTGTAAAGCTAAAACCAAGATCTAAGCATCGTCTTTACTCCTACTGCAGGGCTGTATTTTACTCCAACATCGTTTAATAAATAAGTATAAGAGGTGATTAATGTCTGCTTTGCGTCAGTAGTTTTCTGTTACGCCAGGCTCAGTTGTACCTTCGGTTGGAACAAAGGGATTAGGTAGCCGCCTTGAGACAGGATCAGATTTTTAGTTCCACCTGCAGTGATTTACCCCCCTGCTGACCTCCGACCAGCTTCAGAAAACAAATGTGGTCGTATATTAAACAGGGTGGATTTACCCAAAAATCAAGCAATTAAAATGAAATGAAACCAGGATCAGACATTTGCAGCCAAACAACAATGTTTACAACCTGCAGAAGGTGGAAAACCCCTGAGTCACTGCATCATGACAGGAAGGGAGCAAAAATGCAGTTTCAGCTGCGTGGTGTTATTTTAAAGCAAAGAGAGATGGATTCCTCTCAACGATGGAACACATATTTTCACAATGAGGGTCACTTATGTGTGAGCTGGACTCAGGAAGCCCTGTCAATAGCACGCTTTATGAGACAGTGTGGGGGAATTAGGCCTTCAATAGAGGGGGACTAAGCCTTGTGTGGCGTTCGCCTACACCCGGGCCCAGTTGGGCCCAGTTTGTTTGTTTTGAAGGCATAGGTCCGGTGAGACTTAGGGCCTTGTTTACCTAGGATGTGTGTGTGAGGTCAAGGATTGCTCCCACCTGATAAGGAAATGATTGCATCAGAGCAACAGGTGCAATTAGTTCCAGTATCATCCCAACAATAGTCCTTCCTTTTTTTGTGTAACGAACTCTCACCTTTTCTATTTGTAAAAAAGAAAGTTAAAACTCCCTCAGTCTCTGAGATCTATGATGTCATTAGCTGTACGTTTTTAAGATAAGATGATCCCAATAACAGGAGACTCATTCTGACATGTCTCATTGGTTTGCTCACTGAACACTATGGTCCCAGTGGTTTTATTTACTAAGAGACAAAAGTGTGCATACAGTATGAATGGAGAGACTTCTAAGAAAAGGATTCAATCAAAATATCAGTTCATCTACAGGTTTTTCTGCTACTATAGTTTGCTTTGTTGATTCGGTTGGTGCTTAATTTTGAAAATATATATATAAAAAAAATGTAGGCTGTTTAAATTTCAGTAACATTGCAAAACTTATGAGTGTTTTATTGGGACTTTAGGCTACAGACCAACACACAGTGGTGCATAAAGCAGAAGGTAGACACCATGAATCAACACATTTTTTGGCAGCTAATCTTGTAACTAGGGCTGAAACACTTAATTGGATTAATCGTGATTAATTTGAAATAATTGTCTACTAATTTAGTAGAGGTAGAATACTCTAAAACATGTCTTTAGCTGACAGCAACCATCTTGAAGCAGTAATTATATCAAAACTGTGATAACTTTAATGAACTACCTCATAGTTTAGTTACAGCAGCAGATGTGTTGGCCTATAGGTCTCCACAACACTCTATAATAGCAATTTTGTATTTTATTCTCTGTAAAATTGTTTGTGCCTTTATTTAATTTAAATTAATTTAAGTTTATTTATATAGCATCAGTTCACAATATGTCATCTCACACCACTTTACAGAGACAATTCAATCAGATGGTACTGAAGCTGGTATGAGGTAAGCAGGGGTGTAATCTACCAAATCATGAAAGGAGAGCCTCTGTGAACAAACACTCAAAACGATGCAGATTTTAGATTATGTTCAGGTTTGGACTTTGACTGGAACACCAGAACATTCTGTAATCTAAACCACTTCACTGTACTTACGATTGCATGTTTACTATTGCCAGGCTGTAGGCTGAACCCTCGCCTCAGTCTTGAGCATTTCCGGCCATTTACAGGTTTTCTGACATTATAATCATTCCTTTCCCCAATCAGATGTGAACACCTGCTCTAAACAAAAGCATCCTTACATCATGGTACTGCCACCACCATGTTTCACCATAAGCACAGGGAATCAGAGCTGATGTTCAGCAGTAGCTTTCACCATACTTGTGGCCTGTGTGTAAAATGAAGCTCAGATGGCTTCATTGTAATGGCATCTACCTTATTTAACATTTTTGCAGTGTCTCCTGACAACTTGAGAATATAAGGTTTCTTTTACTTTCTTTCAATTAAATGTTGAAGTGAAACACTAATAGATTCTCCTTCTGAAGTTGTTGATCTTTGCTGCTCCTTCATAGTAACTAAATACCACTTGGTTGTTTCTCTGATCAATAATGTGAATCAAATCCCAATCCATCAAATCTTATATTCTTTCAATGTTTTATGCAAAAATATGAAAGCATTTGCAAGGCCTGTTTGTGTTCAGATAATAATCAAACTGATACATATTCTCAGATATGAAGAAAT